GCTTGCTCCACAAAGGAGTGAATAGGGAATCAACACTGCACTTCTGAGTTCTGAACGGGTGTATATCCATATATTATTGGGTTCAACGACATTGGACTATCTTGAAGTGCGCAATAGATTTTCTTCCTCTATCAGTTATTCTGTGATAAACAATTGTACTGGTTGTTCAGATGTTCCCAATGATTTCGCATCCTAGCATGTGAATATCGATAGAAATAAATAAGTAATGCGGTGTTCATTCATTGATGCTGTTTCAATATGCAGGCAAGGAAGTTAAGGGTAATGTTTTTGCCTATATGTTTTGTGTCCGTGTGCTGGTTAGGTGTCCGAAGAATGCTTGGAAATCAAGTATGGAAGCATTTAAGTTTCTTATGGGAAGACATATAAGGCAACTAGACCATACTGACTCTGATGCACTTGTCGTTGCCTGAGGACTGACCTGTATGTTCTAGATTGTGATTATTTTTTTAAAGGTTCAGCAGTTGGTGAAGTCTCTTACTCATGGCTTGAGCCACGTGGGGAGTTGTTTACTACTGGGTTTGTTTGAGACTCTTGGTGAAATGGCTGTGAATATGTCACCATGGACTAGATGTGTTCATTTTTTTACTTCTGAAGCTTGAATAATTTCTCTAGTTTTCACTTTCAAATCCCTTCTCCTCCTACGTACCTTTATATACTTTGATGTCTCTTTATATTCATGTGTTCTTTCTATAATATGGTGAAGTGTGGTGACTTGAACGGATGTTCAGTGCAGTGTTCCACGTTGATTTTGTCTGTTGGTCCTGATTAAGTATTCACTGTAGATGCCAATCATTCGGTCTTTAGTTATTTTGTCGACAATAACTCTCGGTTTTGTAGATGTTTGGTCACTAGGCAGCTCAAATACCCATTGTCCTTGGTGCTTTGGCTGTCCTAGCTCCATAACCTGGTGAGAACTCAACATCGGAACATAGTCCTGTTCATTCTTGCGGTCGACTGCTGCAATTTTGTTATTATCGGACCCTTTTGTTAGGATTCTGGGAAATTACGGGCATCAAGTTAGAGTTAGAAATTAGCATTTATCAGAAACATGAAGATTGCCGTTAACGATTGTTCCGATGTTGTTTTAAAAGTATATACTTGGAAGTTGCTTGAAGGTCACTTGCAGTAATTACTGCAAACTAACAAATTTGCGCTAATGAATATTTGATGCTAGAGAGAGTATTGCATCCGAAGCTGAAATTCAATCGTAGGTTACTGAAGGCTGTTGTTGACTGCACTGAAAAGTTTTGGTTATCTTGCAGTGGTTCATGACTGATGCAGAATTCTAGAGAAGGCGATGCATATGTTGAATAACTCCGTTATATAATTTGCCTCAACATTTCATGTAAATGATGATGGTTAGATTTTAAATTATTTTTATGACTGCTCGACAACATAATTATCTTGGTAGCACTTGGTTTTTCTTCTAAAGCAGTATCGTAATGAAAAAAGTGAGTCCTTCTGTCTGACAGCATTCGAAGTCTGGATTTCTAAGAAATCAGTTAATCTGTAGTCTAATAGGTGACATTGTCAAGCGAATGAGACAAAAACTTAAAACACGCCAACCCAAATAGAAGTTACTGGGAATGAATTGTAGTGGTATCTGTGCAAATCATGGACTCACCAGGCGCTCTAATATGCAAGTTATTTCTTGTTTACATTTAGAGTACTGTCAAATCGTATTTTCAATGACTAATCTGAACAAGATAATGGGATTCCAATCTTGTTAAAAATGCCAATCAAAGTCAAAGAAAAGCTTATAAGAAATCAATCCTAGGATTGTAGAGTCTTACTTACTGAATAAACGATAGCCAGTATCTGCATTCGGATGGTCTCCATAGTCTTTGTGAAAATAAACTACGCTACATATAAGGTTTAGTTCGACCCTATTAACTAGTTGGAAGCTCTGTGATGCATAAGAACTCAGTTTTTATCACTCGTTTTATTATTGATAATAACTGGCTGCCACTAGTTTTCTGGGTGGTATACTCTTACTTTTCAACATATTGAGCCGTGCATAAGGATGTCCGTAAGCAAATCTACAGCACTAAATCATGGTATGAGAGAGGACTACACCGAAATACCTGTTTAATATTCCACTGAATTAACTTAATGTGGGTTATTAGGGGAGCAATCTAGGTTGATTATTAAGCTTACATTCCATAAGAGTGGTCACTTCAGTAATGTTGAACAAACAGAGAGTAATACGAAGTGCTTGTTAGTTAGTGAAATGGGATCCATTTCTCAGTGGAGATTTGACTTAAATCATCGTGAGAGATTGCATTAGAAATGTAAGCGATGCATAGAGCGAATGGAGCAGGCTCAGAATTTGATTTGCCAGAGAAACCGATGCAAAGCGTTTCTAGGCTAATTACCAGTTAGCTGAATTGGTGCCACATCTCGAGCCTTCTGATGTCATCTTTTGATATTTTGTATCTCCTTGCACGCCAATGCTCTGTTATCAGTGTAAAGTGGGATTTGGTAGTTAGGAATCCACAGAATTTCATTAAAAGCAATATAAACGGTGGTCATTTCTCATGCTTTTCATTACTGTTGTCCCCACTGATGAAAGTGCTGCCGGTTAGAAGCACTCCAGATTATATGCATTCTTCTTAGTATGAGGGGCATCTTGACAACTATACTACTCCCAAGGAAGCTGAAGTTTGTCTAATGAGTGGTGACCTATTTCGCTTGGTGAGGGAAATGCAGCATCTTCGCATTGCTATAAAACAGATGAATGAATGTCAGGTTTTCCCACGAAAAGTCTTGATAACTTTTCAACAACCACCACAAAAGTACGTTCGATGCTTAGAAATCTTCTGCTCTACATGACGCAGAAACAGGTTTAAACTCTGAGTGCCTCGTTGGTTGATAGATTGTTGTCTTTGAAGTCAACCGATACTGGTTCTTAGAGTATTTTCGAAGTTTGTGCGCTAGGTTTGTTGAAAACATATCAGATTTGTTTATTTGATTTACAATACACAGTGATATAGTATTATTTACTTGATGACGTTTTGAGCATAAATTGTTGCTCATAACCGTATCAGTTTCTTTTAAAAGTACTTTCGTCCCAACTGAACTTAGAGTTCTCGAGGGGAGACTGACTACCCACTTTGTTCTATCGATGTTTGATAATGTTTGTAATTTGATTATCTTCCGACGGATATCATTTTTGTATTAGTCTGTTGAACTTTTTATTTGACTGTTTCTGGATTTCATGAATGCAGCTGATCTTGCTTTATCTGGCGTTTGTATAAGAATTTCATAGTCTCTACCGTAACGTTGAACAAAGGAAGAGTAATAGGAAATGCTTTTGAGTAAAAATGGTACTTGTTGTAAAGGTGATTGCTTCCGTTTTTAGGCAACCTGCTGAATCATTCTTTAGTTTGTGTGGTAATGGTTTCTATGCTCGACTCAGTGAAAGCACCGCCAATCCTTGGCTTGTGAATTATAAGGGATAATGGTTGCCTTTTGGCTTTACTATCAGCTAGAAATGAAAACATAAACGTTTGTATGCGTGAAAATATTGGACAGCTATTTTTTCCTTGTATAGGACTCCTCAGTGAGACATACCCACAACTACCTGAGACAAGAATCCGATAATAGGATGGAACAGTTTTCCAGTACTCTCACGATTTCATCAGTTCTTCAGTTGATGTTAGTTCGAGATAAATGCTGCTTTTAAAGCAATTCAGCCTCATGAACCACCAATTAAAGAATACTCAGAGCATTTTTAGCCAAGATTATTTTATTTTACTGTAGATTTTGCATACCTTATTACTTTATGTCGTGAATGTGAGCCCTGTTATTCTGGGAGTTTTGCTTTTAATCGGCAGGTCACTGGTTCATACATTGCTCTACGTACCTGGAGGTGGTCAGTGTTTTAATTGTTTTTGTCTCCACATAACAGGTGTGTCTCATTTTCTAGTACACGAAACTGCACCGGGTCGCTGAGTTGGAATTTCATATTACTCAACACCTACCTTGTCTTTGCTCACACTTTATTATTTTGGTAATTTTTCTGCCATCTCGGCCGGATGTCTGTGGTCTCATGCGTTATGCCGTTCACTTGGCTTTGCTAGCCATTAGCCATTATAATAACGTTATTTTTATTGTTTTTACTATGAACTGGTCATGATAAAAAGGTATCTGTTTCGATATGTTTAACTAACACTTCAGTATTGTAAAACTTGAAATAACATTGTTTCGTGTAGCATTTGGCTTTCGTTAGTTTGAAGTTTGTATTATTTTGTAGATAATAATAATATAGAAATTCATTACACTCACGTTATGTGAAATGTGAAATGTGTTGACAACGATGAGTCTTAATTTCAGCTGTCTTTTACAGACAAACACTATATCACATCTTCACTTTCAAAGTGTTCTGAAATTTTTCTCATGAACAAGAGAAGGTATTTGCTTTGCATGAATATAATTATAATTGCCGTATCTCCTGATATATATATATATATATATATATATATATATATATATATATATATATATATATATAGCACTAAATTTTTCGCATGCATTTAATGATTTTATAAATGAGCACATGAAGAGTTCTCAATCTTCTAGCAAATAATTATTAAACCCTTGTGAAGACTGTTATTTTTCTCATGCAGACATTATTTATCAGGAGTTTAGTGAAAAAAATGTGATGAAGAGGAAGTACTTGTAAGATCTATTCATCGTTTTCTGATTATCAGCAAACCTTTTTGGCGACAGTTCTTTTCAGTGGACTATATATAGTATGTTCTAGTTCTCACTCACTATGCTGCACTTGTATGATATCTCATAAAATGTGTCACTGAATAAATGATTCTATTTGGCGAATCGAGGTCAAGTTGTTTCATAATACAATGAAATAATTTTCTCCTTAGCTGATTACTTTAAGTATCTATTTCTATAAGAACTAATGAGCGAACATCTTTTGAAAATTATCACTACCGATTACTTTTTGTTCAATTTTGCAGACAAGAATTGTTCAGCCTTCACTTGCATTTTGGGAACAAACACTAGAAGTCAAACAACTGTCTACAGGGAACATCATACTTGAGAGGTTAGATGTTTCCTTATAATTTTGGTAACCTCTGCTCTACTTAGTTTGATAATTATCTAAGTTTTGACTGATAGGCAACTTTTTATTTTCGAGGATGATAATTTTATAGCATGGATTATTTGGATTTCAGGATGTGATGCTGGTTGAAAAAAAAATTTTCTTTGCTTGAATTGTTGTTTTCTAAATGTTTTATTGAGAACTGTGGGTGTTTACTGTAGACTATTTACGTTACGCTTTCATGTTATTGGAATATACTTTTCAAAGGAGGACAAAATATGATGTCTTTTTCACATAAATCAATCACCGGGACATTTAAAAAGACGAGTCTAGTTAGTCATTGTTTCTACTTTAATTTACTCAATATGAGTAATAAATGTGCATGCTTAATCTTGTTTTGTTTTTAAAGACAATGTATAGATGGTCAGACTTCCTATATTAAATGGCCTAATGGTACACTCGGTGTATACTGCAGTAAAGGTTGTGAAAATATCACTCGATGTTTTACAGAACCCATACCCAGTAATTATTTAAATGTAAGTTACTTTTTCTCATAACAGTTTATTTGGTTCCACTAAGTAACGGACTACTTTTCTGAACTTTGTTAGATGCCAGAACTGATTTCTGCAATCTTCTCTTAAGTTGGATCTTGAGTGAAATTTATTTCAATGATAATGGTTGATGTGAATGAATTTGTAAAGTAATAAACCGAAACAATCGAGACTGCAGTATCATCTCCTTGACTTGGATACATGCCAGTAAATAATTTCATATGTTGTATGGTAGATAAAAAGCATTGCGTAAAATGATTTTTTTTAAAAATCTATAAACTGTATTCCAGAAATGCTGACAAATCAAACTCAACTGGATTGGAAATGGACATTTCATTTTCTGAGAATACTGTTTTATTAATTCTTTTAATTTCTATGAGGTTTGTGTCTCCTTCTTCTGGTCTTTGTTAATTCGATTTTCAAGTTTAATTCAACTCGATTACATGCTAACCAGTTTGATTAGATAGATGACGAAAACTATTCACTGGGAAGCTGGTTTAGCTTTTTCTATACCCTAGATAGTTAGTATGACCATAGATATAAGAAATTTTTGAACTATATAAAGCCTGTCACATAAGGTGCATTTTACTTGTGTAATCCCGTCGTGGTGTACTAGAACAAATGTTAAAATAAACAAATATTTTGTTTTATTCCTTAACGTTTCAATCTTACTACGAAGAAGCTTTTCAAGACCTGCTTCAAATCTGCCTACTTTGTTATCCATAGTAGGGTATTATTTAATTTACTTCTTCAAATAATTATCAAACTGGCCAGTGATCACAAAGTTTTAACTTCATAAAAGACATCACTTTTGAGAAGTACTAATTATAGTTAGTTTTTATTCTGATTCGATATATACAAACAAGTACGGAGCTATCTTGGAAAATTAGTTAATAACTGCCTAGTAATGTGAGATGAAGGATATCAAGGTTTGTATAGCAAGTAACTCACAGGAGTGTGCTGCTGTTGACATTTACCATAAAGTGTTAAACTTCACAGGAGAATATTTTTATCAGTGTGAAATATGAATGAGACACGTATTGTATAGATAACAAGCTGTGATATCCTTTCAACAAAACTATCTTTTTTGTCTTGTGAGAATTTAATTGGCTGAAACAGACTAAAGATATATAATGTTCGATTGCTAGCCATCAACAGGCAAATAATACCAAAAGGCAACTTAGAGTAATATTGTGGTAATGTGTCAAAGAGCCTATATGCCAAGAGTGACTGATCAGTTCGATTCAGTATAATAATCAAAGGGAAACTAACAGTGTCCATAAATAATAAATATATTAGATTTTTTGTACATTCTAGTTCATGTCATTTGTATTCTGTATCCCAAACTAAGCCTACTTTTTATTTAGGTGAAATAAATCAAGTTGTAAACTAGTGTTGCAGAGAAAAAAAGAGCCACACAGGTGAAAATGCTAATCGTTGCAATTCCGGTAGGTTCATATATCACTATAGACTTCTGAAACTCGAGCAGTTTAGTAAGAAATGGATCGCCAAACCGTAAATACATTAGAATTTGGCAGTGATGATACTGAAATAGCGTCAGAGAAGCATTTTATGAAGAATGAACTGACAGCTTGCTCATCCTACTCCTTGATCTTTGAACACTAAATATCTTGTTTTTTAAGAAAAGTTTGGGTATCTTAGTGGACACTTCAAAGCTGCGAAATGAGTTTGGAACTTGATGGTTATATTCTAATGATTTCAGTCAACTTTCGGATGAATTACTCTAATTGTTGAACAGCATGTTTTGTTTAAGCTTATCATTAGTGCCGATTCCGCTTGCTGCTAAAAGTGTATAACCAAACAGATTGTGGAAAGATTTATTTCTCTAAGGAGAAACCAGTTTCCAAAACCATATTGTTTTCAGGAAAAAATCACTTAATGTCATTTCATTATGAATATATGTCAAAAAGTTAGTAAGCTGTGAAAAGTTATCAATTCTGGTATATTTTCCATAATTCGTTAACTTGGTTTAAAGCAAGTAAAAGTATTTGCTGTATGTGCAGTTCAAGTTTAGTGATAAATCCAACTTTTCACTCATTGAGAAGACTTAAATGTTATATACTAATAGTGACATTGGTATATTTTCTGTCATTCACTTAGTACATCACTCAGTCATCACTAATGTTAATATTACTACGCTTAACGAGTGCTGTAGCTAAATCCCGCCATTTTTCTTCAATGCTTTGTAGTCACTTCATTCGGCGAGAAGATTCATCTCCACTTAGACTAAGGCATATTTCATAACGGTTATTAAATTCAGTCAAGAAGAATCTTGTAACTTAGTGTCATGGAAGATTATCAGGTGGCACTGAATCTATGCTATTGGAAATTCTGTTTAACTTTATCTTTGTCTCATACATAATTGGGTAAACAAGATTTCAGTATATGAAACGGTGAGAAATAATTCATAGCCTACTACTACCATTCACATTATAGGTAGTCTTTTTTGAATTATCACCCCCATTTTCGGTTTTACTTTTGTATACTTTTCAAACCAACTGGTCACTAATGATGATAAACTAAGACAAAGAAATTTAGACGGTTTAATTGGTGATTACTACACTATGAATTGTAATCTTATATAAAAAATGAGAACCAAAGGTACTCTCCGTTTTATCATGGGTTTTTGTAGGGATGTAAAGAGTTAAATGGAAGCCGACCGATTGTTCAAGGTGGTAGCGGAGTTGGGATACCACCAAATGGCTATTTGATTTTTGTTGACGCCTCTGCAACAGAACCATGTAAAACTGATGATCTTCTTGCTTATGCACTAGCATGTCAACTTGAGTCTGGCACCGACAGGTAAAACTTTTATTTTTCCAATGGTGTTTCATTCTCTTTCATTGATTACACAAATAATGCTTTAGTCAAAACACTTTGCGGCAAGGTTACACGATGGTTGTTGTTATACTGATCATGATAATATGTAGTGATTGTTCTTAATTAATAAGTGATATCCATTTACGGTTAAAATGTTTTTGAGAACGGTAAAAAGGGATATTTCGGTCTTAGTGACAATAACTACTGCACCAAGAGAGTATCGCTTATCACACATTTACGTAAATTTCGTTGTTTTTCTATTTAGTAATATTTGTTAGTTTCCATGAGAAGTCATCTGAAATAAGATTTCAACCATACACCCAAAAGGACCATGATTTATATAATTGCTCGTGATAAAACTGACCGGAAGCAGAATTTTGTAAAATTTAATTTTTACGAAGCCAAAGTCGATGAGTTTCGTTGAACACATTTCACAGACTCGATGTAAAACTTTATTTTTGGAAAGGAAGAAAAAATGAATTATCAAAATGCAAGCTGATTTCTTTTACACTACATTCATGTTTATTTGCAGTGATAATGACTCATACAAAACGTCTCAAAAACAAAACAGAAAAAATGGACGCTTTTTCTAGACCAGAATACCGTTTTTCCTGCGTGACTCTGAAGGTCACCCTAAGAACTACTGAAACAACCAATCAGTTTTCATTATCTTGGTTGAAAAGCCAAATTTTTATGAAAGAGACACTTAAATAGTTGTTTTAGCAGTTGCTATGGTGGCCTTTAGAGTTGCTGTTTTTCCTGAAGTTTCAGATTGGCCTTCATGATAAACCAAAATGCTATGAGGCCTAAATTAAAGGTATCATAAAAGATAACACTTCATGCTGCTACTACAAATCTTTGCCTTCACTTTTTATTACCGTGTTAAAATCTTGTAAAAATGTCTATTAAAGCCTTCGGTTATGTGGCCCATAGTGACTACACAAACAGGACGGCTACATCCCATACCTTTTTCTCTACAATAATTAATGACATTGCGCGAAAAATCTTTTCTCTGTATTTTTTATGACGAAACTTATCTGAAAAATTAGTAGATATCTGACGAAAAAAACTTAATGTACAAAATTTTTTGAAATGCATCATACTAGCTCAACATCTTTTGTGAAACTGCTAGTATGAAGATCGGGATTTGTATTTTATTACAAAGTTTTGGTAGTGATTTCATAGCAGATTGTAAACTATTTCTAGCTCTAGTAAAGTTTCAGTGACATCAATGTTTGTTAAAAGTAGTTCTGAGAACTCCATTTTAGTTGATTTATTAGATTTATCATAGTGAATCAGTCTTACCCACTGGATTACGTTTCGGACAAAATTTATTGTTCATAGTCACATCAAGATCACTACATAACTTTAAGACATCCTTCATATAGTTCTAATTTCCTCACCTCCTTAGTGATATGTGTAGTTGGATTTTCCATAGATCTGGAACAGGTGCTGAATCATTAATGTTGCATGTATTAGGTGTTGCTTCGACAAAAAAAGATTCGGTCATCAAAGTATAAAAATATACAAACATACGTAAAGAGTTGCCATCGGATCACCAATATCCCCTATCGGGGAAGATATATTTATGGATAGTTGGGAAGTGGTTAGCCCTCGAAACGTTTAGTTCTTCTCCAAAAATGTAGTCTTGACATGTAGACGACACATTTACAGAGTTGAGATTGGAGCACTTATGTAGTTTCTTCATACATATACGTTCAGTAGTCAACGCAGTCCAATTTTTCCAAATAGTCTCACTCATTCTATCCGATGAAAAATTCTTAAAACAGACAACACAGGAAGATCCTACTGAGCAGTCCAATTTATCTACGGACTAGAAAATTATCAGTTTAACAATCTGAGATAACTGTGGTTTGGTATACCTATATTGTCGATACTGGGTGATGATCGAAGATGGAATGAAAATCTGCATCGTGATTGGATGAAAGAAATTAAGATCTGGTCAGAAACTGGGTCTCGCAGCTCAATTGGTAGAGCAGTGGGTCGGTTATCTGAAGGCCCACTGGTTTGTATCCTGCTGAGATCCAGATATTAATTTCACTCTCAGTCATCATCCAGTAGCAAGAATTAGAAAATGGTGAAGAGGAGCCGAAGATGTTGGATTTCAGAATAAGGTGGAAACAGAATTGGAGTTTCTATACTGGTTTTAGTTGTGTTGGGTTTTATGACCTGAGTGACTTAATCATGAAGCTTTCATCGTCTTTCTAGACCATATCGTCGGCACCAACTTTAGTGTGAAGTCCTAACTTAGTATTGGCATTAGTGCTGATGATGTTGTCCATAAGGACAATCGAAGTTTCACGATTAAGCCATCTTGTTCAGCATAACCAAGATCACTCACTTGAACTTCAAATATTCTCTACTGCTTAGTCAATGGTGTTTGCAGAAAACTTCACACTTGACTCGCTACTAAGACTTCATATCATTTCACTCTATGTTAGTTAAAGTTGGCTTAGTAAAATGCCGATGTAACAAAACTAAGATTCAAGACAAAAGGCCAGATACACTAAAGACATCTTGTTCATCAATAAGTATCCCCTCAAATTAGTTATTAAATTTCTTAGTAATCGTAACAAAAATATTATTTAAAGTCACGGCACATGTGTTATGGTGGTAATGATAATGATAATACTGTGGAGATAGAATTCAAGACCTGTACGGTATTATGATACAAGGAAGGCCTTATGTAAGATTTTTAATAGGACTGGGATTAGAGTGGTACTTCAAACCTACAAACCTACAAATAAGCCATCTAAGTTAGAAGGTCCTATTGGTCTAATTAAGGAGAATAATTCAGAATACCGAGTCCCCTGGAACAATTATGAAGTCAGATACATATGTCAAAGTAGTCGACCAGAGTCACTTGGGCTTTTGAACACAAAAAAAAAAACAAAATTGGTGCATTCTAGCAAGAAAAACGATCTGGGAGAAAGCTCGGCTATAGCTATCCAAGCAAGTAGAGGACAGGGTGAAAATCCTTAAAAATGACATAGCAGGATAGAAGAAGAGAGCGATTACTGAATCTTTGTCGAATCAACACCTAATACATACAGCATTAATGATTCAGCACCTGTTCCAGATCTATGGAAAATCCAAGTACACATATCACTAAGGAGGTGAGGAAATTAGAACTATATGAAGGATGTCCTAAAGTTATGTAGTGTTCTTGATGTGACTATGAACAAAAAATTTTGTCCGGAATGTAATGCAGCGGATAAAACTGACTCAACGCAGTGAATCTAATAAACCAACTGAATTACCTACTGCCCTAATTCTGCTCATATGTCAATTTTGAGAAGCATATTTTGAGAAACAAATAAACCTATGTGAAGAAGTATACGATGCAATGAAAAATGCTTGTAAAACTATACATATATCACAGATCATTCTATTTAGGGTTTTATTAAGCTAAATATTTTGATTTTATGGCTTAGTATATTGAAAAAAAGAATGAGTGAGAATTGAAGTAACCAACTTTACCTTAGTTTGAGCTGTTTCTTTCTGAACTTAACAGCAGTGTTGACCGTTTCCTGGAATAAACAGGAAGCACTGATAACTAGATTTACGTCATGTATTCAGATTATATGAGTTTACTTGCAGATAAATGTTTTATGATTAGTTTTATGTTCTAAAAAGCTGTATGAGATTAAGTTAAAGAGTAACATTTACAGCTTCCAAGAAATCCAAATAATCTGACAACAGAAAAGTGAATATTTAAGCCTAAGAAAGTGTTAGGAATAAACAGTCTCTGATATCATTGTCGTCACTTTTCTTTGTAGATGGATATGTCAGTGAAATACTGATTTTTTTGTTAAATAGTTTAGCATCTTCAGTAAATTTTTCTAAAAGACTTCCGGGGCCACTAATCAACTCTCTTTGTCAGTAGATTCATGTTCAAATCATATTGATTACACCACTAAGATCAAGTCTATGAGTGAGTGTCGCTTCCCTGACAGTAGAAGTATGCCTTGTTGACAAGTGTCAACGAGCATCTAGCCAGGAAATAGTTTATTTAAAAATATATAGATTCGTCATTGAAAGAATCTAAATATGTTAATCTTAACAGTACAAATAACATTTCATCTTTTCAATTCAGACCAGTTGCAGGTTATGTTAACTTATGTCCAAATCAGCTGTCTGCATCACCAGAAGAAGTTCGTGCAACGGTTTCTACCTTTATTCATGAAATGGCACATGCATTGGTAAGTTCTAATTCTATACATATTTCAAATATAGCTAACAAGGTGAGCTTTCGTCTATATAAAGAAATCATTCTACCACAGGATATCTGTAATTAATTACAATTAACAACTCGCCATTCTTATAAGGACTCTAATCGGTTGAAACTGGGTTGACGGAAACTATGTTGCGGAACTTTTAAAGTATCCTGGCTCATTAGATATCTGTATTTCAGGTTAGAATTGTGTATGCAATCACGTGGATATTCGTAACAAGATTTGAACGTGAATTTTGAAAACTTTTTCTGAAGTAAAACACAAATTGTGAATCGGTGTTTTGATAATATTTAGAAGAAATATAAATAGTTCAATAAAATACAGAACTTAGATAGGCACAAAATGCAAAGTAGGCGAAGTTCTCAACCTACATTTCTAGTCATGATAGTCTTCAGTTAAATATGTTTGATATAAGGTGAATGGTTGGAAAATTTCCAACTGTTTTTCAAAGTCTTTTTAACTGTCATGTTAAATGTGTTTACGTAACATATAATTATGTGCACCAACAACAACAACAAACTCTAATCACCGTCAACGGGAGAAACTTAAAGGAAGTAACCTCCTTCACTTATCTAGGAAGCACTGTTTCAACTACAGGCGGGATAGACGAGGACGTCAAAGTCAGAATCGGAAAAGCAAGACAGGCGTTCATTAGCCTGAAAACAGTGTGGAGATCTTCTGCACTCAGCATGCGGAACAAGATCCGGATTTTCAACACCAACCCAGTCAAGTCAGTGCTTCTGTATGGCTCAGAGACTTGGCGCGTCACGAACGGGATTTCCAATAAACTACAGACATTCATCAACAACTGCTCACGCTCGCTACTGAAGATCAGTGGAGATGGCCAGAAAGAATAAGCAACAAGGAGCTCACTCTGGGAACGAACCAACCAAGAACCTTTTGCTGAACAAATATGCAGGAGGAAGTGGAGATGGATTGGGCATACACTGAGAAGGCCGACTGAGGACATCAGGCGTCAGGCCAGGTTCTCGAATGGAATCCCCATGGGAAGCGACGAGTTGGGCGTCCCAGCTGAGGGTGACATGGAGGAGGTCGTGCGAGGAGAAAATGAGAGGTTGTGGGCTGTCGTGGAACCAGGTTCAAAAGATCTCAGAGAACAGAATTCACTGGAGACGTGCTACTGAAGCCCTATGTTCCATTAGGAACCCAAGGGACTAATAATAATAAAATAGGACTCCTCAGTATTGCGCACCCACGAATTCACCAGGGAGCACTGGGTTGATAACTCAGAGGCTGCTGTTTCATATCCTACCGTGACTCAAATTTTCACGTCGTTCCCAATCATCGCCCAGTATCTATAATACAAATCTGTCAAACCGATCTTGCAATGAAGTTCTACTTTGTTCATTTTTATGTTATATTTGGATTATATGAATTCTTAAAATATTGGCGTCTCATTTTTTATTCGTGCTCATCAACTGCTTATAGGGCTTTTCAAGTACTTCTTATGCCTTTCTGCGTGATGAAAATGGTAATCCACGAACACCGAGAGATCCTTACACGAATTTACCTGCCCTTGGTCAGGATGCTGATTTTATTTACATAGCCAGGTAAGTGAAAGAAGTTCTGCGTTCTGTCGAACAACCTGACTTTTGTTTTTTGTGGTTTCAAAAATAATATGCAAGTACAGCATACAGTAAATTTTCCAAGTTGATCTATTTAACATGCAACTCAGAAACATGTTACGGGTTTCTTACTTACTACATAGAAAGCGCTAACTTCAAGAGTTAGTCATGTTCATGCTGAAGTATTTGCTTTCATACACATAGGTTGTTGTTAGGTAATCGAACTTCTAGACTAGTGGACATCAGTTTGGAGAAAATGCACAATCTTTGATAATAACGATGCGTCAATAATTTGGCAGCTGTTGGCATCAGCTTAAGTGACACTTACTTAACAAGAAGCTTATTATGATGCTATTTAAATGCTGGTATTCATAGTTTTATTCATTTCAGACAAACAATGAATTGTGAAAATAAATTGCAAAGGGTAATTAGTTTCTTATTACTTACTATTTAAGTGTATCCACTGAAATATGAAATTTCGATTCGCAATAATATATCAAGGTTATGATTATGAGAAATAAACTGTGCTTGTAACATCATCCAGTAAATAATGCTGTTGCATTGCGTACTATATCAAACAGACTGATCTAATTAGAATTACAACAAATGTGGATATCATGTTTTTCATTTCACTGTTGATTTGACTTTGTTAAAGCGAAATCAAATTTAACAGAACCTTTTTCTTGTTTTTATTTAGCAAGTCAACAATAACAACATTTCAACGAACATGGGTTTCTGCAGTTTCCACAACTTCACGAACGATAAATGCCTTTGTTCTTCCAAACCTATTAGTGAGTTTAACTTGCCCTATCCTTCACATACCGTCGAAAAACCAGCAGCTCGGGAAGAATAAGAAATATGGATAATAGATTTGGTTAGATGACTGTGCAATGTTTTGGTCTATGTCGTTCGTTTTGTAGCCATAGATCTTCCGTACATCCCACTAAATTTATCACTTTGATTCCAATATCGAGAAAAGTCACTGTATTAACAAATACAGTAAAGTTTGTGTAGTGAAATGTGAATATTTAGTTTAGACTTGAATTTCAGTAGAAACAGTTTGATCCTAATGAAATAGAAACTACAGAAACCGGTAGTAGAAACAAGCGTATATTTTATATACTTTTCAATAGCGAAGTGAATAATGACTCTATTAAAGCTGAAACATCTATCACCAATAATGTCGGGATGGAGAATACCACTAGTATATACTTGTCTCAACAAATAGGAATGCTTGATTGTAGATGGAGGTGTATAGAAATGAATTTAAGAATTGTTTTCATTACTGATTCACAAACTATTCACTAAGTCATATTTCCATAAATGCATAATACATAAAGGTTTTTTGTCAAGTGGTACTATGAATTTATTACAACCAACATCTAAAAATAGCAGTAGCATTATTTGTTTGCCTACTTTAACAGTTGCCTTCATTATCATTAATTAAGGTCTAATCAACCTTTGTCTATTTAGAGACCTTATGTGTGTTCTATCTATTAATAGTTTTTTCATTACGTATTCTGTTCTCAGAATTCAAACCTCTGTGAATATTAAAACTACTTAAAATGCAGAATTCAATTATTTTGCTTGATTGCATCATGAATTAAGTGCTTTGTCAATTTTAGGAAGTTTATCATAAACCTCACATGTATCCAAGAAAGCAGATACGTTGTCGATATTTTAAGCATAGCATTTTCTGGACCATTAGTCAAGAGTTTTTTTTTTGATCAAGAATTCAATTGTATTTTGATTATCAAGTCATAAATCATGTCGTTAGTTATATTTACGGTGGATTCATTTTCCTGTGAGATATGAGTTTGAAACTGCTAAGTACATTCACAAGAGTTTGTTAGTATTGACATAATTTATGTATCTTATACATAATGGTTTCTTGAAGTGGACTACAAATAAAGTACACAATGTAAAATGCTTTACAGTGATGAAGTGAAATTATAAATGTTGAAGAGTATTTTTTTTGGAAAAATGTTTTTACGTAAATTGTCTTTTAAAAACAAACAACATGAAGATTATGTAATAACAAATCTATACATCTAATAAGACAATTAAAAAATGAATGGTGTAAGTTATATCTGTGTAAGCCTTAGCATGTTTGAAATGAATAATTTCCACCAATTAAGGAATAAAAGATGGATAAAGAAGTACCACTTATTTTTCAGTCGGTAAGTAATTTTTATAAAGTCATTAGACCAAGCCTTGAATGATATTTTATGAGCTCTTTGCAGTTTCATTATGTATCAGCCATACTACTCAAGTTCAACACATCTATAAAAGGATTAGAAGAAGTTTACTGGGTTAAATTTAACTTGCTTTTTGCAAGGTTTAATAAGCGCATTATAGTAAAAATGGTTAACCGTGTTCAATTCCTAGCAAAAAGGGTTTGTTATTCATCGTAGACTGACATCAGTTGGAAGAACAAAGGAAACCTGGGAGCACTGGACAGCTGTTTCGTCCTAGTATGGGACTCCACAGCAGTGCGCACCCACGACCCCGCCAGGGATCGAACCCGCGACCTTCAGGTTCCGCGGCCAGCGCGTTACCATTGAGCCAATGGATCAGGTTTCCTTTGTTCCTCCAACTGATGTCAGTCTTCGATGAATAACAACTTGAAATATTTCCAAATCTCCACAACTCCCTCAAAAAGGGTTTGTTTTGTTCTGACTTATTCGATCACTTCATGTCATTGAAATTAACGGAACGTTCCTGCTTATTCCTTTTGAAGAATAGCAGTAATATTCCATTTTCCCTTATTCGAATGTTTCTTGTCCGCTGTGTTTACAGGTGTAGAGGTGCCATGTGAATTGGACGATGGGATTCATCAATATAAGTACTGAGGAGTTCATAGAACCATGTGGATGTTATATATCAAGTGTTTTGTCAGATTTTTGCAACGTTGAGTTAATTTGTAACCAAACTATGCCGAATCCCTTCGCATACCTTAATTAATTTGACGTAAAACCACTGACTTGAAGAGATGACACCGATGTTGCATACTTAAGGTTGAAAGATTTTAATAAATTAGAGGTAAAGGAACACCTCGTAATTTTGCCTGTGTGTAGAAAGATTCGGTGATTTAACATCTAGAGAGGAAGACTAGACAGTAGTCGAGCGTAGGGATATTCAATATGCATAAGAACTCATACCAGTTAGAATACAGAAAATAATATGTTAAGAAAGTTATAGGATTGATATTAACCAACTAAAACAAAAGCGGTTGGAACTCAGGCAATATCGTCAAGAATTCTGAATAAAGAAACAGTTCGCCAATGGGATCATGCAAAAAATCCATGCGACCACTTAAAATTTACCATGGTTGAGAAAGACCAGGGAAAGTTTACTTTTGAGTGCATAGCCTTTTGAAATTTGTTTGATAGCTACTGCTGTAACGAAATGCAACGAATTTCATATTGCTTGTTCATTGATTACTCCTAATGATTTCTGGATGACAAGCTCACTCTTATTATCAATTTACTCATCGCACGCAGTGATAGTAATATATCACTGCGCGACATATATCAAATTAAAAAAATCTAATATGGAATTACATTCTACCACAGCGCCCAAGTTTTACACTTATATTAGTCATAAATAGCTAAAATGCTGCTGACTTGCGAACCTTTAAGTCACAAATTCCTTCGAACACACTCAGACATATAGCTATGTAAACTCCTTGTATGTTTTGTTACTGTAGGTGGATGTGAGTTGAAATATGCATTTTCTAGGAATTTGGGAAATGGACTTAATAACCTCAGATTATTTTCTTGGGCGATTTATTTGTCATCGAGTACCAAGCGTTGTAGCTCCATAGTTCATACTCAGTGTCAGTCTGTAGATAATTTATCAAAAGACCTCAAGAATTTTGAGGGAAAGATTTAGATCGACAGAATTATTTCCTGTTGTCACATTTTTCGCTTTTACTGTACATTTTCTTCATCGTACCGATGAATTTCTGTGGTCCTTTATAATCTTGCAGCCTCATTAAAGTAAACACTGAAAAGTGTCTTCATTGGTGTCTCCTTGTAAATTACTGGATAAAGGTTGTTCAAATTAAAGTACGATCCACTGTGTATAGCTCTTCTATGATTATTTGTGGGAGATATTCGCAGCTCAGCTGGATGGTCTTGGTTGTATTATGTTCAGTGAGCAAGGTTGTTTAATTGTGGAGCCTTCGTCTTTCTAGATGAAATCACCAGCACTAACTTCAGTATGAAGTAAGCTGTCAATATCTCTCAGTGAGTAATTTAGTAGCTTGCCCTGACAAACTGGTTCGCGATTGGTTGTTTCCTCTAATTGTTGTGTCATTGACTGTATAGGTTTTCCTGCTGAATGTTCCTCTGCTTGACCTCTGACGTTTCTGTCGTTCATCATTTTCTCATTGGTTGATAGATTGGGTCTATGTCTATGCGTCTATTAATTGCTGACTGACCTGAATGCCAAACTTCTAGGAATTCTCTGGTATTCTTTGTGTTTCTTCTGTCCAACATTTCTACATTGTCAAAATTGAATTAATGTCCATAATTGTCCACGTGCATTGAAATGAATGATGAAGTGTCATGACGTTGAATAGCCAATTGGTGTTCATGTAAACGAAGGCGAAAAGGGTGACCACTTTGTCCAATGTAATGTTGACTACAGTGACTGCAGTTGATTTTGTAAATGATTTTCGGTTTGTCTTCTCTGGTTGTTGCATCCTTTGGTCTGTATAATAGCGTTTCGAGGGAATTTGTTGATTTATGAGCTACACCAATTCAAAGTGGTCTCAGTAATCTTGTCGGAATTCCTGACATATTTATTATGTACGGTAGGATAGTCCATTTGTTGTCGGAAGCCGTTCTTCTTTAGGACAGAAATCAAGTGATTTCCTCCTTTTCGTTAAGCTGTTGTGCTTCAGTGTGTTTTCCCTCTTTTGAATAGAGTCTGCACGCAGCCGATTTTGTGCGTTGTTTGTGAATGGACTAGACAGGCAAAAGGCATGTTTAGGGTTATTACCGGTAGCAATTGTAACATCAGCGTACTTGCTGTAAAATGTTACGCCGTAAGCTGCATGCTAGGCTACGTATTGATAAATAAATAATTTTAGTTTAATAGTTATATGATAGGTATTTCACAGAAGTGGACTGGAAAACTACAGTGCTAACAAAGAAGCATTTTAGTTGGTGTCGAAGACGTCTAATTTATTTGCCAGTTTAGTAGCAAACTACCCTTAGTCATATCGAGATGGTTACTTGGAAGAATAATTAAGAATATTTCTTATTTGTAACCTTCCTGGCATTTTTCGATTATCGTTAATTTTACTATTAACTATTTTATGCTCATTGAATCTTCTACAGAAGGAAGCTAGAGCTCACTACAACTGCCCGACTTTGGATGGAATGGAGGTTGAAAATGATGGTGGTCCTGGAACAGCATTTGTTCATTTTGAAAAAAGAATCACGGAGGTAAGTCAGTGGAAAGAGGTACAGAAGGTATTTTTGTGACCAAAAACCGTAAGTTATTTTATAGTTAAACCAAGTCTATGAGGACTTCAGGTAATTGTACATAATTTCAATGTGCATACTCATATTTATCGAAGTTGAATATTCTCATAGAATCTTGTATTTTCCTCGTTAGTGAGTGTTTGTTAATCAAAATGTATTCAAACATCATCCTTCTTTTATCTCATGACCTTGTCTTCATCGAATTTCCATATTTTAGGATGAATTAATGTCAGGAAGCTATTCCAAACAAACATATATTTCATCTTTAACGCTGGCATATTTCCAAGATTCTGGGTAATGATGATTTTTATATTGTAACAATAACAAAGTAATGAGGCTCGATCTATGTTAATAATGTAGTTGTACTTTTTACTCTCATTACAGCTGAAATACGATCTTTCCTAGATTACAATTTCTTCTTTTTACATCAAGTAGTGCCTTTTTTTTCATTATTCAACAGATTACTCAGTTAGTTTTTATGATTTCACTTACTTCAAAAAGTTGATCGTCACCAAGACGTTTTTATTCTCCCTCTAAAAGTCAAATTTCTAAACAATGACATTTCACTTCGAAAAAAGTATTATTAGCATACTTTTCTCATGAATTAGTAGTCATCTTCGAACTTACTCTCGTATTTGCACTATTTTTATACTTTGAACAGGAAAGTAGGTTTGAGACCACTGAAACGGTCGAAGACAAAATTATTTACACGGTCTTTTATTATCATGAAATATAAAATTACGGTCATTCATTAAAGAGAAGTCGCTCTAGGTTTTGTTTAGGAAACTAAGAAAACGTCATAATTATCAGCTCTAGTCTGTTTCTCTATGCTAAGTTCATATTTTATCAATAAAAATCTTTTCTTTATTTCCTCATATTTTTAGACAAAAATCTGTATACGTGGCACTAATCTAAACTGTCTGTTCTAAGAGGTATAGAATGTGCTGATATCACCTTAAATAATTTTTTGTAAAAGGTTCTCAGAAAATCAATGTCTTTTCAGCGCTATTTTTAATGTGAAGGCAATTTTAAAGAAAAGAATAAGTGGTTTCCCTGCAGTAAGAAAATGTACTCCATCTTAGCATAAGTGTGTCATCACTTAGTGGACGTAGACAACTGGAATGTTATTCTTATGGCATGAAGTTTAACTCAGAATCATCAACCAGGATAGTTTGTTTGGTACCATTAAATTATCAGGGCGACCTGAGAGACTTCTTTCGATAGGAAACATTACATTATGCTGCAAAATCGTTCATTCTGTCATTTGCCTTGTGAGTATTGTCTGAACTTCTTAATTATCACAGCTTTGGTATTAATGTATTAGAAGACCAAACTTTAGTCAACTGAAAATGTAAGTTCAAAGTTTAACGTTTTCCCTTTCTGATTCCTATTTAATGATACAGTTTATATGCTTTTCGTATTTCTATTCTTCCTATAAATCGGGTCGTTCCGCAGATGTTTAAAGCCAATCCAAATATTTGTAACTTGATTATTACTCTTTTAAGAAGTTATTTACAGTATAGCCTGTTATTACACAATCGATTTAGTTTTCTGACTTCAGATTATTACCCCTTATTTTTTAGAGGAAAAATGTGGTGAGAATGTGACTAAATAGTTACTTAACTTTGATTTATTGATACTTTTAAAAGTCCTTTCACCATGCGATATCTGAACGTTGCATGTGTCATCAGATAGAAACATTTTTTAACGAAACGAAATGTTCTTGAATAAATGTAATCTTATACCTTGATTTCTCATCTCCTAATGTCGCTTCCGTATTATATTCGTTTAGTTTATATAGCATACAATGATACAATATTATTTACCTTATTACTATTTTTATTTTAAACATTTTGTCCAATTTATAAATTTAAAAGTGGCACTAGGAAGGCAGATATTGGTAGAAGATATAATTTATTAATATCCCTGCAACCACATAACAACTAACATGTTTTCAAACAAATTATAATAAATTAATCACTCAACTACGCATACTGACGAATAATATATTATTAGCAACCATGTTAGTTCCAATGCGATCATAGAGAAACGACAAAATGATATCATCTCATAATATTTGTTTTCCTACTGCCGTATTTAAATTACTTTTGTTATTATATTGATGATGGATAGTGGCTAGCAGCGGAATTCAGGACCCGCGTTTTTGTGCTATTTGAAACTCGTCAGCTGGATGTAACTGCCTCCCAGTAAGCGATTTTGTTCCCACTAAGACTCGAACTCGAGACCGATCTTTCTAAATGTCAGCGTTATCCACTAGACCACCGAGTTACGATAGCCACTTAATGTATGACAAGTATAGTCTCAATCTTGTTACGTGTATTATCCTGTCGTTGATTGGACTGAATTTGGTCGGTCTCTATTGGCATATGGGCTCCTGTGGAGATGCGTTGATATTGTCTATGTTTCTATTTTTTATTTATGATGAATGGTGGCTAGTAGAGGAATCCAGGACGCGCGTTTCGTCCCATTTAGGAATCGTCAGATGGATGTACCTGTCTTATAGTAAGCGATGTTGTTCCCATTAGGACTCAAACTAGGAATCGATCGCTTCAAACGCTGATCGAATCCGGTTCAATCAATTGTGGAATAATGCAAGTAACAATATTACTTTTATTATTGTATACTTGGTAAGCCAAATAAGTGGTACTGTATCACTATGCGCTATATTGAAATAAGAAAATATCTAACATGGAATTAAGCTCAACCACAGTGTCCAAGTTTTATATTTCTGACATCTTTCATTTTTATGATCATTCAAATGTTGCTGGTTTAAAACACTAACCTTAAACATAATTTTAACTAAATTACAGATGGTATAACGTCAATATGTCTATGGCTCAAGACTGGAAGTACGGCAAAAATTGGGGATGTGATTTTCTCCTCAAGAGCTGTTACGAATTCATGGCAATAAAAATAGCAACGTATGTATTTATTTTCCGCAGAGTATTTTCTAGGTTTCGTTTATTATCAAAGCATCTTTGTCACAAAAACCCTTTGAATAAAGATTTCATATTGCCATGTAGCCTGCTTTTCATTTAGGCCTAAATTTTCGATTTTATGATATTCAAAAGCTTGTAATTTTAGAACCTGAGATGTTATTAAAACCGTCTTGTCTTGAGGATGCCTAGCAACTTGGGAATTATTTGCCAATTGCATAGTGCATGTCAATATTATTCAAAGCTGAGCAGTTTTTTCAACTGCTTAATTGTGGTCTCAACCAGGTTGTCGTTGGAAACCACCCAGACAAGGTCAAAAGTGTGGTCTTAGATCAATATCATGAACTGATGAAATGTACCACTAGACAACATGAATAGCTAGGAAACGTTTGTGCTAAGGTGTAGATTTTGCTAACTAGGTCAAACTGATGTAAACTAGATGATCACTTGGTCAATGTAGACAAGTCAGTTTATAAATAATTTACTAACTGATTACTCTTTTCAGATATGCTAATAGATTTGAGTTAGTCGCTCGAATTCGATAGATCTGAAACATTTGGCTCTGAAAGCCGAGCTTTTCTGCGCATGTCGTTGATAACCTCAAGCAAAACGGTCATCCGGTTTTCCGATCAAATTGATCTAAATAGCTAGATCTACAAATCAACATGAGTGGTTTTTGACTACTCATTTTGTTCAGCAGTATGTTTCGATACGTTCAGTAGGCAATAAATAGTTGATTTCTTTCGAACAGCGTACTTTCTCGTATGATAAGTCATATTTAGCCATGCTCTTGATAAACTACGCTATTAATTCCTACTTTCATAGTGGCGAACTATTTTCTTGATTGTACGACCAGAATTTATTCATTGGAACTGTGACTCACTGGTTCAAGAAGTTGACTTTCTACCGGTGGGTCATGAGTTTGAACCCCACTCCACCTACCGAGGTTTGGGTAGTCAGGTAGTGTCATGTGCCATCACGTGTGGTTTATTGCCTGGTGAGCAACTGTGCACAAGATTACTGGGTGCATTTCGTGATTATTAAAAATAATTACGGAAGTCATATGTTTTGAATGAGAAATATTTAATGAGTACTATTTACTTCAGAAAAAATAATCCTGTATTCTACAAAATAGAAAACGTCTGTTTAACTGCTGAGAATCATTCATAAAATATTTCGTTTATTCGCTAAACACAGTGTTTTGATATCAAGCTGGTGTATATTGCTTTTAATTACTGTTTTTCTGTATCTGCTATTCAGCTTTGAATGCCTTGGCATACAAAGCGTTTGTTGGCAAAACCTTATAAAAGCTTTGGTGATTGTAAATGGTATTTCACCGTATCCAGTTCTATAATTGATTCTTTATCAACAGAAGAATTAAGGGAACATAAAATCTCACTTTTTTGTTTTGCAGGAATAGTCCCATGACTCCGTATTGTAATAAGCTGTCGACTTTCGATTTAAAATGTTTGGTTTATGATGAGGCATACGGTAGTTGTGATCTCAAGCGTTTGAAAGAAAAACTTCCACCTGAATACCAATATTTTACGCATATTGATGGTGTTGCTGATTCAGATGTAGCCTTCTATGGCGGTGGATTTACACTAAATGATAGATGTCCAATATATAGGGTAAATTTAATTTAATTATCTTCATGCCACAAATTCTTATCTTCATTTCTAATTTACAAGTGTTTAATTTTTTTAATTTTTACTGTATTACGTCTGAAACAAGTAAATATTCTCATAAGTATTCGGTTTAGTAGTTCAACCGGTGTACACGAGTTGAAAATCCTGAAGAGTATTGGATGAACACGCTTTGGTGCAGTAAAGTAGCAGACAAAAGTTTAGGTGAATCCTCTGCATTACCAAAATTTATACATTCTTAGTTGAAAAGTTTAAGAATTCAGTTTTATCAATTAGATGTTCATGCTTTGGGTTTGATATGTGTCTCAGTGGAATGAGATCCCAGTTAATTTTCGGTGTCACTATTAATCTAGACAAGTATCAGTTTCGTTCATTTGTTTATACATGCCTCAACAGAATCTCAGGACAGTTTCTTCATTCTGCTTTGTTGCATTTTTCTAACACTATTTTCACCTACTAACTTCTCATCAGTAATGTCATAATAAAAAATTTAGCTATTCGGTCCTTGAAGACTATTGGTAGCATGTCATAAATGCTATCCTTACTTTTTTTCTCCATAAAACAGCTAGAAAGGTTAGCTCATCAACACGACGAAAACCCTCGACATTTATATTATTTCCTCACTTCTGTTTGAATTTCTAAAAGTTCTATTTATACGAAGTCTTTCATGACTGCTCATAGCATCTTGCATTGTAAAAACGTAGACCATTATAAGAGGACTGGCTATTTGTTTCCAAATACTTTAAGATCACATCAGATGTATCCGTTATATTGTTTACAGGAGTTTCTATGGTTTTATCCACCTTACTGTTTTGTGTCAATGCGTCTCTGTCTTGTAGTTTCTGTTAACCATAGTTTACTTCTATTACTTTTTCTCTCATCTTTGGATCTACGTAAATGCTGCTCTTTGTCTGTTAATTCTGTTTGTTATGAAATGCTGCGGCTTAAAATGATGTAAGGCTCTACGTCAACTGTTTATCGATCCTTTTTTTGCAGGTGCAGTTTTTTTTGGAGCGATATGTCACTGATTTGGGGAAGAACCTGTCAATTCTGGTTGAAACTATGAATTTATGACTGTTTACTTCGGTGTCATCAAAATCTTGCTTCACTTGTATCATATATCAACCTATTTTTTTCCATATTAAAAGGGTTTTTCACAGTAGAACTGTATTTCTTAATGAGTGACGTTTCTAATCCAAAATATTCCTAATGACGGTATCAGGGCCTTGTGGAACTGTGGCTCGGACTAGGGAGTTGATTATCAACCAGTGGGTGACTGGTTCGAAACCCTTGTTTGCCTACCAAGGTTTTGGCAGCCAGTTAGTATCACTAGGCCCCACAAAATACACAGAGTTCTTTTACCTACTCCATGGAAGTGCACAACGTGCCTGGGTATGTTTCGTTTCGAATGATGATCTCGAAGTAATTTCTTATAATTTATCACTCCTTTGTTTGAATGGTTTTAGGATTCTGTATCTTTTCTCTTGTATGTATTACGTATCAGCTCGATGGACGAAGATTCGTTAATACAGCAGTAATACCCACGTATTTTGATTGATTATAATTTCATTTAAGTTTGTCTATGAAATGTATCACAATAAAAAAAAAGAGTAATACTGCCTCACTGTGTGATATATCTAATACGCAAGCAAAAGTGAACAAAAGATCCGTTGATCACTTTTTCATTCCACCTAAATAAATTGCTCTGTTTCATTCCTACCGTTTGAATTTAAGTTAATGCAGTTACTATATATAACAATAACTATATTTAGCTACCTTTTGTTGTAACGGTAGCTAAGTATAGTTTAAAAAACAATTTCGAATTTATTTCAAAAGTCAAAGACAAGAACATCAGTAAGGAGACGATGATTTCTATTTCCGTTACTTCCCTGTTTATCAATGTTCGTCTTCTAGAGACGATCGATCTCATTTGTAGTTCACTGCTAGATAATAAGATGGAGGTAGGTATACCACTTGCAACCCTATGAGAGCTGCTTCTTCGTTATACAATGAATGTACAATTTCAGTCTAACGAAGAAATCTACCGTCAGATAGAAAGTGTGGCAATAGGTTCACTATTAGGTCCTCTTCTAGCCGATATGTTTATGGAGAAATTGGAAAGTGGACCACTACGTAGCACAATTTATAAACTGTCTTTTTATCATAGATACATAAATGACACTTTCATTCTGTACGAAAATGATACTAATCCTGACATTCTTCTCGGTACATTCAATAGTGCTCATCCAGAAATCGAAGTCACAAGTAAAACGGAGAAAGATAAATGTCTGCCATTTCTAGATGCTTTGCTATCAAGACGAACGGATGGCAGTGTCAGACTCAGTATTTATCGTAAGAACTCATGGATTGGTCAGTATTCACATTTCCGATCATTTTTCCTTCTTACGTAGAAAAGGAATTTAGTTCATACACCGAGATTTCAAACCGGTAAGATTTGCACGGCTGATACTTTGAACGATGAACTAAGAATAGTAGAAAACTTTTTATATGAGAACGGCTATCCTGAAAAGTTCGTAAAAACTGTAACAATGAAAACAGCTGGAGAAAAGCGCCTTCAAATGGTGCCGAAGAAACGATTCTATCTAACCTCAGGGTTCAAAGGAGATGCAGCTGCAGAAAAACTGAGACTGAAACTCTGAAATCTGATACAAAAAACCTTTGCTGCCACACTGTTTGAAACTTACTACTCGCTGTGTGATGCCAATGCAGTTGAAAGATAGGCTTCCGAATCTGGCCATACCTATGTGCATTTATAAATTTAACTGCTCCTATGGAGATAGTTACATAAGCAGAACGACTCGGCAAGCCCACCATCGCTTCATTGATCACTGTTCAGCTTGGTTAGGCAAGGGAACAGTGAACTCCAGTAGTAGCTCAATACACGCCCATCTAGTAGATACTGAGCATAAGATTGACAAAACCTCAGCATTTAATATTATTTACAAAGTCCCATCACAATACTCCAGATTTGTGCGCCTCCGATTGCTGAGCATAACAATTAAAATTTTAAAACCCAGTTTATGTATGAAGAAGATGTTTGTTCGTTCCCTTTCCCTCCCATGGCCTTCAACTTCAACCCAGATACAATTACAATAAATTCCTTCCTGGTCACCTGGATAAGTGTAAATATTATCAGGGTTTGTATTCTTATCATTATCATTTTATTTTTTTTCGCCCTTAGTTTTATAATTGATTAAGAATTTTAGCATTTTATTATCTAATCGCTATTTGACAATAATTTTATTTCCCTCTATCCCTGCACACACACAATTCATTCACACATCTACAAGGATTGACTACTGAGAATATATAAACCTTCAGAGATTTTGTTTTGTTATCTCCTTTACTGTTATCTTCTAATTCATATACCCGAGATAATTTAACCATGTTGACATCAAATGAGTATGCTGAATAATTTATAAGTGAAAAGCCTGACAATAATTTACCGAAAATACGTATTTGCTTCAAACTCTGTCTTCTAATACCGTTTCACTGTGTGGTTTATAAAATAAAGCTTTTAAATACGTGATTACATTACCGCACTGCCCAAATTCCACTTCTGCTCTACCTTTTTGGTTTCCAATTCTACGTGGACTTTTTGTTTATCCACCATGAGCCAATGACGATTCCAAGGGAGGTAATTATTTGAATGGAGTTTTCTTAAGACATGGGAGTTTACTGTCATGGAATTAGATATCTTGTAGCATTAGAAGAAAAGTTCATTTCACCAAATGGACCGTTTTCTCAGACTTCTGTGTATCGATGTGAACTTTACTGCATACCGTCTAAAAATGGTCAATTTCCATCAGTATCCCTCTCAACAAATCCTAGGCTTTTATTATTTCTTTGATTTATGTTGTACTCAAAACAGATGAAAACACCACTAAGTAGTGGCATTAACGGTGAAATTATAAATGTGAATTTCATAGTTATTTTTTAATAATTACATTTATTTAGCCACTGGAACCAGTACCCGGATATAAATATACATCATACTGTCATCACCCCGAAAATCAAGATGCGCTTGGTTTGTCTTTTCTGTTTCGTTTGTTTTTACAATAGTGGGTGTATTTCCTAGAAAATAAGTCGCTAGTTTGTAGAACTGAATTGCTGCTGCACAATCATTTGCTTTTAATGCGAAGTGGTGTTTTACTATAATGAATATACTTAACATTCACTTAAGTAGTACATACTACTAAATGATGTATTTACGCAGCTAATACCTAATACACAGCACTCTTTTTCACTTGTATTGTTTCGTTTACACTGTAGTTTATAAACGAGTTCTGTTTACTTCCAGCTTTAATCATGACCGAATAATGATTAGATTCAGGGAATTTCCGTCTTATTGACTGGAAAGCAGTTCATCATATCAGTTTAGTGGCAAGAAAGACTCAGCCAACGTCGATAACATCTGGCCTCAGTACTTTTCCCACCAGTTTTAACTCCATTTTAGGAAGGAATACATTTTTGGTAGTAAAACCTAACTCTTTTTCTTTGAGCATATTATTATTATTTGTCCTTTGGGTTCCTGGTGGAACATAGGGCTTCAGTAGCACGTCTCTATTGCACTCTGTTCTGTTCTTTACAGTATTTTGAACCCGGCTCCACGACTGCTCACAAGCTTCCATTACTTCCTCACACGATCTCCTCCATGTCACCCTCAGCTGGGACGCCCAACTGGTCATTTCCCATGCGGGTTCCACTCTATTGCGTGGCCTAGTGCGTGATGTCCCCGAATGGTCTTCTCAGTGTATGCCCAGTCCAATCCATCTCCACTTTCTTTTGCATATTAGTTGGGCGATAGGTTCTTGGTTGGTTCGTTGGCAGCCACAATGAGTTCCTTGTTACTTATTCTTATTATTCTGGCCATCTGATCTGCTCTTCAGTATCGAGTGAGTGTAGGTGGTAGCTGTTGATGAATGTCTGTCGTTTTTTGGAAATGCTTTTCGTAACGTGCCAAGTCTGTCAACCATCTCATACAAGCACTGATTTGACTGGCATTAGTGTTGAAAATCCGGATATTGTTCACGCTTTATGCTGAGTGCAGTGCAGCGCAGTTGATTTCCACACTGATTTCACGTTGAAGAAGTCCTGTCTTGTTGTCTTTCCGATGCTGGTTTTGACGTCCTTATCTGTGCCTGTGCTGCCTGTAGTTGAGACGATGCTGCCTTGACTGGTTAGGGGAAAGAGACTACTTCTTTTAGGTTTCTTCCGTTGATGGTGATTGGTGCTTGTTGTTGATACTGTTGTTGGTTGGGTATCTTCATCACCTTTGTCTTCTCTACATTCACTTGAAGTCTCGTTTTCTCTGCCTGTTCTTCTCCTGTAGATCTTCGGGTTTATGCGACAAGTCATTGGACATAAATCATCATCATGGGCGAAGTCCAAATCTTCTAGGATCATTTTCATCGGTCAAGCAGCGTATGCCCATCTTCTCGCTCGTCACAGTTTGCTGCATGATCCAGTCCAGTCGAGTTGACCACAGTCAGGAAGATCATCGGTGACAGTAGGCGGTAGCCTTGTCTTACTGCTGTCTCCACTTCAAAGGCAACACTGAGTACCTTTCCATTGTGAATCATTCGACATGTAGCGTCGTCATATGGCTAGCTGTTGAATAAGGTTGATAAAGGTTTGTGGCACTAAAACCGTAGTGTTGAAGTAGCTGCCTGCCAAATTACTTCTCGGTCGACGCTGTCAAATGCCTTTTCAAAATTGATGAAGTTGAGGTAAAGATCCAGTTGACTTCCATTCTATGTTCCGTTCTATGACCATGCGTAGCGTAGCGTTGCAGTTTGATCCGCACATAATTTGTTCTTCCTCAAGCCAGGCAGCCAGCATACTCCAGTCGTAATTCTGAATCCAGTGCATCTTTTATTCTCTCCAGGATGATGCGGCTTAATATTTTGCTTTGGGTGGACAGGAGTGGAGCATGATTCCGCTTCAGTTCGTGTTCTTGCAAAGGCTTAGGTCTCCCTTCTTTGTGAGTTTGACAGGGTAGCCCTTCTTCCAGTCAATGTTCAGGTATCCTTCTTTCATCGTAAACCTTCAGCAGTGTGGGTGTGAGCATGTCCACCCCTGTTGTCTCTGCATCTGTTTTCAGTGCTTATGGAGGAATTGCATCTTGTCCTACTGCTTTCCTGGCTTTTAGCAGCTTTATGGCGTTCACGACATCGGCTTTTGTTGGAGGAGTTGTGTTCGCTGGTTATTCTGTGGCTGGGCTGCTGGAGGATGAGATTGATTCCTACTGCACGAGAGAGAGCCTTCGATGCTTTTGGGGACATCATGATAGACACTCCAAAACTCAGTGTGCTCGTGGTTGTAGTTTGGTTGACAATATCGTAGTAGATTATTGGCTCTGTAGTTGACAGTTGAGAGAGTCCACTTTCATTCCATCTAATTTCGCAGGTTCCTAGCACTTCTATGCTATACCTTCTCATTTCTTTTGCAATCTGGGCGACCTTACTAGGTTCAAACCTTGTTTCGACACTCCATGTCCTTATGTTTGCTTTTGCTTTCATCGAGAGAGAAGAGACACATCTGCTAGTTGGCTCCCCTAAGGCCTTCATCAGCTGGCATGATTTCGCTTCTCCGATTCCAGCAAGGAGTAAGTTTAATTTTGTCTTATATTTTCTTTGTGCTTTGAAGTTTCTTCAGTGGTTAAATTGGTTTTCTTGGGTAGGGTTGGTAGCCGTATGCCCAACCGTCCCTCTTTATCCGGGCTTAGAAGCGGCTAGTAACTAGTGAACTAGTTACCTATACGAGGTTCTTTTCTTTGTGCATAAGCCCACTACAAAATTAGGATTTAGAAGAACATCACTGAAGTTGCCAAAGGAATTCTTCGAGTGCGTAAAGCAGGAACGAGATTAAAAAATTGTGGGAACGAGAAGGATAAACATAAGATTTACTCAAAAATGTCATAACACTTCTCTATTACTATTGAAATGCAAGAAACTTAATAAATCTGCAGGAGGAAGGTAATTGTGCTAAATTTCCAGACTTGAGAGATAGCGTTAGTAGTTAAAAAGTTAGATTATCCTTTTGATCACGTTAACAATTCTGTTCTGAATCAATGGTAGTTTTTGAAACAAAACCATCTTCAATTGAATTACAAATTATTACAGACCAATCACTTCTTTTTGCTAGTGATTTATAAATTGCATTTCCTATGTCACCATTTGTCAGTGTTCAGTAGTCTTTGAACTGACCAGCTTCGATGTCAGAAGGACTTCGGTTAGATTTTACCCAGTGAAGATACTAAAAGGTTTGATCCATGAAACAGAAGTTTTTTGAATTGATGAAACACACTACTTGAATTACATTAATGCTAAGCCACTAATACTACGAGGAATGCCAAGGTAAAGTGAGCAGTCTGTAAACAGCAAGTTTTTCATCTGCTGTACAGTACCAGCCGAAACCAGATAGTGAAGGTCAGTTTGTCTGGAAATTTCAGCACAAGTGATTTCCGATTACTTACATTTTTCACCAGTATTCAGTAGTTCATATGAAGTCACTCAGTAAGGAGATACCATCTGAAAACTGAAAGTAAGAAAGTATCTTTCTCGACAACACACAACTACTACATCACCACAAACTTCTTTCGAAGCTGACTCAGCTGTGCTATCCGTTTAGTGGGAAATAACGAAAACAAAGACGGGTTCTTGAAATGACTGTATTTTAAAACTAATGAGATTTCACTAAGTGAAATGTACCCACTGAGTCATTCAAAAGACAAAGAATTGAGAAAAAGCGTATTTTTGCTAGTCTCATCAAGACTAAACATTATATATAATATTTTTACAATAGAGATGATATTCATACATCCAGTTAGTTCTAGAGACCTAAGCTGTGTGCAAACTTGTTTTACTTTATAGATATTTTAGTAAAGAGGTAGACTTAAGAAATGAATCTGGGTAAAGTAAAGCCGTCGTGATGATGATGAATGTTAGGTGAAAACCGAAAGCATAAATCGCATATTAAAATGATTATCAAAAGTAAAAGATACAGTTTTACAAAGAATCATGTACACTCAAAACTGTTTAAAGTTAAATTATCTAAGATCTAAGGTAATGGAGTGCCACAGGAGAGCAGGATGTGCCAACATTTCCTTGACACAAGTCAGGTTTTGTTATCGTAATGACCTTAACCTCAGACGTTTGTAGGAGACAAATCAGTATCACATGTAGTGGATAGTTACGTATTTGATAAGCCTTTCGCCGGCAGTTAAATGCAAACACCATGACCAGTACGTATAATGTGTAACTGAATAGGTCTACTAATCTTCGTTTTACTTTGCATCAACTGCACTGGCAGACCATATATTGTACTTGATAGCAAAACCTTTAAGCGATTTCAATTTAACTATCTCTACTGTAGTAATTGGATTTGTACATACAAATATACATGAAACTACAATGAACCCTATCTTTCATTCATGATGGTAAAATACATATGATTGTTAAGGTTGTTTCCATATTGGTTCCCTGGAATATCTAATTTAACGATTTCTGTAGTAAAAGATTGGCAAAAGACGATTCAGCAAAGAAAACTTTCTTTTCAACGAGTCATTTTCAAAAGTTGTACATCGTAAACGTATTTGCAACAAAATATATATCCATCAAGTAGCTTATGGGCCAATAAAGTCACAACGTGATAATGACTAGAAGGCCTTCGAAATGACAGATTTCTTTTTATAAATGACTTTTAAAGAAGACTCTTGTGGAGCAAGGTGACCAAAGTTAACCAAATGCTCAAGAATCGAGCTTTCGATGGTTCTACACTCTCCTTTCGAGATTGATTGAAAATAGTGCTTGGAGATGCTTTTGGATAGGATACGCTTTTTACGGCCTATATAGCCAGCTCTACAAGAGCAGGGGAATTGATAAGCATACATAGAGGTGGCCTAAGTTGGTCGTTTGTCCTTTGTACACCCTCGATTCAACCGTTGACTATAGAAAATCAGAAAATGTGTTTTTCAGTGCTTTGCACAATCGATTCTTCAGTATCTCTGCCAATGTACCTTCTTTGAATCCAATGTTCATAAACACTGTCTTTCTTGGAACCGTAAAAATCCTCTCTTTAACATTCTTAGTCCTCATGATCCTCTGAATGAATGTTGAATGATAAACATCCTCTATTAACACTTTGAAGTACTTCTAGCTCTTCATTTACTGCACCATCCCTATAAATTCCTCTAATTCTTGTGTAAAGTGAATACATTAGATTTCGTTCCTGACTAGTGGAATGCAGCTTTAAAAATGAGTATTTTATCCATTCCAGTTTCTTTTTATGTAAATCGGTCACCTATTTTCTCATGGAGCGCAGGACTGTTTTCAGACTTCCTTGTTTGATTCTTGCTTCTTAAACCATAAATAGCTGTAGTTACAAAGCTATACTGCCTATATTAAAAAAAAATAATGAGTAAACTGTATAACAGCTTACTGACACACTTGCACCATGTATAATATTAGAGAAACTTCATCTTTCTCTTAACAACTTTTGTTCTGACGAAAGTTGTTTCTTTACAGTGGACAACTAAATTGTCGGTAATTATCTAAAATTGTCAGATATGCAAATGTGGATTCAATGTATCACTATACTGTACACTATGCACAAATCATATTTTAACAGACGACTTTCAGTGTAACTTTATAGATATTTAACAGTTGATTAGCACTCGACTGCAAATTCTGCAAGGAGTTCTTCATTTTTGACGACATTACAGTGTTATTTTAATTTATTCAAAAGTGTAAAATTAGTTTCACAAACTCATTTTCTTATACTCAAATATGGGTGTTACAATACACCTTATATCTGTAATATTGTATAAACTAATCGGTGTCACAAAGTTTACGACAACTATGTTTCTTCTTTCTGAATAAGTATACCATTTATATATATCCACAGTATTGTCTATAATATTGCGTAGTTTAAACATTTTATAAAAGTGATAGTTTGATGGTGATTTTTTGAGTTGGATAAAATTTCAAAATACGTTTGAGTCACTCATGATGTTACATCATGCATTGTCTACTTCTTCATTCTCCCAAATAGTTTCCACGCTATAAGGTAGCCAACGGCTTAAATAATAACACATTTAACTACAGATATAAACGATTTGACACTATACTCAAACACGCTTATCCATATTGTAACGTATTCACAGTAGTGTTACTTCTGAGTAACAGAAGTATTGGGTTGTGGCTATCACTATATTGCTTAAAGAGGAGTGTGGAATAAATACGTAAAATAAGCAGCCTTAGTGATCATAAGTTGTCAAAAAATGCAGTCATCTATGCTTTGTGAGTTCTTAGGTTTTTTTATAAGAAGAAATAAATAATCCTATTGAACTAGTTTTTTAAGAGTTCCTACCGTGTTCATTTCTTCTTAAAAGCTCATCATCTTTATACGTCTACATCTCCACTGTAATTTTGAAACATGTATTCAGCTTACGGAAGCAAATATCATTTGTTTATCTCTTCCGCAAAGAAGAAAAGTTTAAATACGCAAAGATCAGCTTCGTTCGTCAGTTAAAAGATCTAGACAGTCTGGAAACCTATAGATCTTGAAGTTTCTGTCGAACTTATTGTAAAATATTAATTTTCTCACTTTTTATTACGCTAATATCAATTGATTTGCTGTAGTTCTTGGAAAATAAACAAAACAGTAAATAGTACATCGATATTTCTTACTAGTTTCTCATATATCCATCAAATGATGAAGCTTCATTATTTTCAGGTTCAACCACCAATTATGCTTTACAGTACTTTGGGAGCGATTCAATTTGTGTCAACCCTGATCCATTACAACCTCGGATTAGTATTGTAGGCGGATTTTTTAGGATACTATCTTCTCCAAGTTGTCACAAGGTAAGAAAATATGAAACGATCTCAAAACGTTTATCTATTCACTATAAAAATAGCGAAAGTTAATATTCTTAAAAAACTCATTTAAACATTCTTTTGATACGTATACAAACTATAACTGAAAAATACCAAATCTTAGTGAAATGTTTGCAAAGAAATATGGGTTAGAAACTAGTTTGAAGACAGGTCCACACCTCACTAAGTTGAAAAGGAGGGTACGAATTCTTCGTCTCATTGTTATCGCTTTTAAATCTGTATTTTTTCTACCTTTAAACTGTCTAAAATGAAATCTTTATAGTATATTAAATTCCTGTATATTTAAACACGGGAAGTAGTAAGTATGTAACTGTTGAGAAGTAATAAAAATTTATGAGATTGCCTAAATCTCTTATACACATGGTGTGTATATTAGGTATGACTCTAAAGCATATATCAGTATATCGACCTGTAGGTTGCGTTCTATGTAAAAACTTTTCAACGAGATCAGTATTAGATTTTCGCTCATGAAGTATTTTTGTGTAACAGAATGGTAGAACTCGATTATTGTGATGTAGCTATAACGCAAGTCTAGATCGACTTAGTTTACTTTGTGTTTTTTTCCATTTAACCTACTCATTTCAAATTATACAAGTTAGTAGTTTTTAATCATCTTGTTGATCGGTGAAGAGGTTCAAGTTTGCATCTACAGTCTGAACAAGCTGATACATTTTTTTCTGTGTTGTTTGATGAATATCACTTCCTTCATTTAATTTTTATAGTTTGCATGTCCGAATCTGGGAATTACACTACTAATCGGAAAACCAAGCTTTATCGTGCGCAAGTGATGGTGAGTCAATCCCAATAAATGCTGTTGATGGGAATATTAATGTCAGAGGATTAGCATTATGTCCCACCTGCAGTGGAGTTTGTGGTGTAAGTAAACTGTACATTAAAATCAAATTCTAATCTAAAGTGTTGTAACTATGTGCAACTATCATTCTAAGTTTTGCTAAGTCTGTTAATCGCAAATTATCTGAAAGTAAGCCTTTGTCTATTAAATCCTAGTGTAAAGTTTTAACCGCATTTCAGTGATACATTGAACAAATGGTCGCAGTTGTTAGCATTTGATTTGTTAAGTAAAAATCATTCCCAGTAAGTTTACCTCAAGCGGACTTTTTTGGTCTCTATTTTAATTTACTTACTTGGGAAAAGAGATTCATTTAAGAGATGATTATTTTAACACCTTGAACAAATCTCTCCCGTAGTATTTCATAAAGTAAGTTCATACCTGAGATTCATATTAGTCATCAGTTTTTCAACAGTCTGCAGTATAAGTTTATGATACTACCATTTCTTTGTTGTAATCAGTGAGCGTGGGAAGTTATAGCGTCTTCCAATTTACTCTTCTGGATCTTCACTAAAATAATATTTAACGTGTATCATCTAACATAATTCTGAACATACCTCAATGTACTGACGGGTCCAGTGTGTGCAGTTGTTGTGCGTAAGAATAAAATGTATAAACTGGTCAGCAATAAAGAACTCCTAAAAAGCCACACCAGTTATTGTTTTCATAATGCTGAATTCCCTGGATACGACAGAAAAGGTAAACTTTAGTCAAATTCACACTATGGTAATACATAACCTTCAGTATACAACAATAAGAGCACCATTTATATACTGTTTGTAAATCCATTTCAAGTAGCAGCATAATTTCTTAAGGGTATATTTTATCCAAAGAGTGAGATGTAGCTTTATTATAGATGCAAAATCAAAAAATTTCTATAGCTTACACATGAACATGTGTTGCCATCCATATAACACAGATTAAATTGTTTCCAAAACTTGTCAATGTTTGCATTGTCCGCCGTAGAGCCCAGTGATTAATGACTTAGGGTTATAAGTGAAGTTGAATTAAAGGTTTCTGAAAATCAGCCTTTTGTAATGCTTTCTTTTATCTATAACTTCTCTACATCATATCATGAGTTTGTAAAACGTATAGTTCGATGTTCAAATGGCAGGACTTGGGGAAACTATTATTCACAGCTGCTCTTATAGATGCGATGGCTAATATTTTGTTTATTGGTCTTGGTGCTAACTTTTATGGAATATGTGCTTAAATATTTGAGACCACTGGCAGATAATGATTGGATGAATTGATTTATCTTCTGCGAAAAATTCCACTGTCATAGTACATCTTGAATATGTGACCTAATCTGACCTCATTACTTACCCTTACCACATTTGTAATTGTTCATTTGATTTCACTGTACAAAAAAACTTAAATCTTAGTATATTATATACGGTGTAAAGAATAATAATTATTGAGTTGATTTTCTTCACTTTTACCGATTATGTTTTTTTTCTCAGGCTTGTCCTAACAATACGGCTACAGGGAACCAATACAATTTAATATCTCGGATAAATATCAATAACAAAATACTAATCTTTCATTTATTTATTTTGCTCAAAGTTTTGAACTGTAAACACTTGTGATATGAAAGTGAATTTTCGTTTAAAAAACCAAGAAAGTAACTAAGTAATTAGTGAGTTTCTACTTGAAGAAGCTTCTGAAAAAAATGTTAAAGGTCATTACCGCAGCTTATTATTATAGTTTCAGGTATTAAATATATGCAGCACGCATTTTTTTTTAATCACTGTTATTTTAATCCCTTGTCGTTTTTTTTATGAAGACAGTCTTACTAAGTAGCGTAAACATTTATATATTATTCATATAAGTCAAAGGAGGTCTTTGTAAAGATATTAGTTTCTACAATAGTTTTACGAAGTATAGTCAAGTTTATTGACAATATGAGGATATGTTCCGAAGACAGCATTTTGTCACATCACACCAACAGGCAGTCATTTCGATTTGAGGTTAAATCAAAAATTAATGTGGTACTGTAGGATGCACGGATATATTTTAAGGGCATGGTCATTTCAAAAAAGCTCTTAAGAAAACAAATGATTACGTAAACTTTGAATAAAATTTGAAAGATTATCGCTGAATGTCTAAAATGATAAGAAGATGGAGGTTATTTCAGAAATGTGACGTATTTACGCAATACATTGCGAACAATCTAGTTGCATACTTACTTATCAAAGCATTTTATATGAAAGGTGAAAATAGAGTAGGATAAGGCGAATGGACTAACATAATACAAGATTTGAGAAAATAAGAGATAACAATGAGGAATAATACAGTTTTACATCTTTCTTGATACTGAAATTAGACGAAGATTGCCGAGGAATGTTTAAGGTAGGAACAAACTAATTTTTAATACACAAAGGAGGTTTGAACGTTCATGTTGCTAAGATATCAATAGTCCTCAGTATACGGTCTTGACGGTTCCTGTATAATAGTTTGAAAGCTTTATTGTGGTTAATTCTATGACTAATTTCTATAACATATTTACCTATAGACAATTAGGTTTCCCTGACCCCTGTATTTATCGGACTATTTGAATGTAGTTGTTTCTATATGTTCTACCACCCTCGGCTTCATAGTTCGATTACTTCTCCTAATGTGCGTTAACTCACACAATTAAATTGGCATATATGACAGAATGTGACTTAATTATCTATGCAGTAATGAGGTTTATTTTGAAGCATCGGGTTCGTTTGCTCTATAGTACTGAGTCCGGCCGCATAGGATTTCTTAAGTGGCTGAATTTTGCCTCCACCTTAGGATCACACTATTTGATTTCCCCTTGTTCAGTAACGTGATGTAAACATCCTTTTTCGGAACGGAATACCGATTAGTTGTCAAAGCTGAGACGTTTTTATAACGATTGATAAACTTCAGTAGGTCTGCGTCTTTCATAAGTGTCTCTATCAAGAATTTGATTTCTTTTTCCAATTTATCTATTGCACAGATACTCTGGATCCTTTTAAATAGGTACTTTATTAAACCCCAGTTGTTTCGTATTGGGAAGGAAATATGAAAGCCTAGGTGCTGTCCGATTCATGTAGGTTTTGAAATGGTGGAGAATACTTGTAGCTGTGGTGGATGGTCTTAGTTGTATTGTGTTCTCTGAGCTCAGAGAACACAATACAGGTTAGAAGAAGTTGCGAATAAGCTTTGGATATCAGGTTAGTATTCACCATGGGGTGACGTCAATTAGAGGGACTTTGGAAAGTTCAGAGTACTCAACAGCTGTTTCGTTCTAGTATGGGACTCTGTCAGTAGTGCCCACCCTTGACCCCGCCAGGGATCAAACCGAGGACTTTCAGGTTCCTCAGCCAGCACGTTACCGTTCAGACATTGGGTCAGAATCCAGTGGTCCATATTTCCTATTTCTGTCACTTCACGATATAATGCGACCCCCATCCAGTGCCATCGTTATGTAACTGACCTCATGTTCGGAACCTGAAGGTTCTGGTTTCAATCCCTGGTGAGGTCAAGGGTGAGCATTACTGACAGAGTCCCACACTGGAACGAAATAGCTGTTGAGTGCTCTGAACTTTCCAAAGTTTCTCTAATTGACGTTACTTCGTGGTGAATACTAACCTGATATCCAAAGCTTATTTGCAGCTTCGTCTAACCTGTCATCTAAAGCTTACACGAATGACACGATGACCTGTGAATACTTTTTTGTGTAACTACGGTAGATTTTTAAACAGTCAGCTTTGTTTTCAATATGATGGGTGGAATGTTTACATTATTCCTGTAACAAAGTAAAAATCGTAATTAACAATGAAAATACGTGTTTTCAAAACTATTTCGACTACCGAATCAGCCTCTTTCAGGTAATCTTTACTACTGACAGATTGACTGAAGTGTTTTGAAATAACTTATCTGACTATTATCAACCCACACACAGCTGTCAAAAGTCAACCATATTCCGAAAGTTACAGTATTATGATTTTCAACTTCCTCTAGTCGTTTCGGTGTTCTGTAGGTTTTGAAAGGAAATGATAACAAGTAGTTAGTTACCACGAAATTCGTGGTATTTGACAGAATTAGGTAAAACAGCTATTGTTTTCACTGTCGAAAATCCAAGTAGCTTTCTCTGATGCGTCTAAGAAGGAAGAAAGAAACTTAATTTACTACTAACTAAAGTATTAGCCACGGGTGCCAACTGTATGCACATAATTCAGCTATCAGAACCTGTATCTGAACGACAAGCACTCGAAAAAAGCCTAAAATGTCTGGAAAGTCAAGTATACCAGACTGGCTGGTAAGACGAAATCAATAGAAAATGCCCTTCTAAAGAGTCAGGAAATAACGAGTGCCGCGACAAACATTTGAAAACCACATTATTTTTGTACATAGTTACCCTTGCTAAACGCCTCATATGATTTTATCACCCCTTTTTTCCGCAGAAGCAAGCAATGATCATGTGCAAAATCTGAAAGTTATTGCTCAAACGTTCACAAACTTACATCAGTAGTTAACAATATATAAACAATATTTATCGTCCATTCGTCATTACTGTACGCAAATCATACTTGTACAACTAGAAATTAACTGACACGTTTAGAGAAGAATTTCTCTGTAAATATCAACTAAACATATGCAGTTTTAAATTTAGATTGCGAAATATTTACCTCGAAATTCTCACAAACTGAGCTGCGTATTTTACCTACTCATCAGGACGACGACTGTTGATGGGAAAACCTTTATTCTGTAAAGGAACTTGGTGAGTAAATGGTACTCAGACGAAAAGAAATAGAATAACTCAGAGTTACTTCAATAACGTTTAAATCTTTTTTACCTGAAATGAAAATAAAAGCGTTCTGTCTAGTTTGAAACTGTCAAAAAACTAATTAGGAAAAGCTATATCAATTCTGTTCCTCCAGCAATTAAAGCAATGCTGTCCAACTTATGTGCATTAAAGTTCATTTTGGAATATTATAATACAGGGCAACCACGTTATTTATTTGGTGTGTGTTTCCAATGGCATCTAAAATTCACGCCCTATCTGATTTCGTAGCCAGTAATTGACTGTACCTGCGTCTCAGTAATTGCTATTCATCTGATTTGAACTTGGACCAGCATTGTTTAGTGAGCTACCAAGTTACGATAGTCAACATTTGTACAGTAGATATTACATATTATTTTGAGTTTCGAATCTTTTTTTGTTCATATTTCTGCATTAACAGATAAATCGGGTTATACTAAAACTTACAACAACGCTGAATAACCACTATGCGGATATGGTTGATTATCTAAATTCATTTGTGTTCACAAGAAAAAATTCAAAGTTCGAAAGATTGATTATCATCATTTCACATAGTTAGGTAATGACCTATGATAAAGGAAGTTATTTATGTTGAGTAGTGTACACTTATATCGAACTGGGTGTGAACTGAAATGCTAGGTCACAACAGAATTGAAACTAGCCGCCTCCGTTGTGTGTGCTTGGCGCTCTACTGACTGAGCTACAAGAACAAGCTGCTGATTATCTCTTGTGTTTATTTTAGTCATCGACATTTTTATCTGGCATTCATATAAGTCTGTAATGTGTACGTTCATCTGAATAGAATTGGTTACCCAACCAGGTCTTGACATCACAACCCAAATGAAGCTGAATTATAGAGAGAGTGTGAGATTGTTTGTTAATTAGGTTATACGGGATAACCTTGGCTAGAGAAACTGATGTTATTAAAACTTTGTGATACTTGAAGTTTTCATTTCATTATTAGACACGGAATGTCGTCTGGATGGCTGCCGCTGATACGTCTTTTGGTCAACCTTATAGTTTGAGTTCAGTTACCAGCTGAATGAGTTGGTGATAGCACTTAGGACTACTTTAGCAGTCTATTGGCATTCGAATCCCAATTTTTTCAATAATGCGAGTAATATTTGATGATGACCTACAGTCATGAACCTAGGTCTAAAACTTCTTATGTGCTACCTCTAACAATCCAACATACCAGTAATGTGCGAAGACGCATGAGTCTTCAAGCAACATACTCTCAAGACAAGGTCACAAAAGTTTATCAGCATGGCTGTGGAAAAGGGAATTCAGATCGATAAACAGTTCTATTTCGCAACATAATGTCAATTTAGGTAGTATAGAATCCGTACTTAACTCATCCATTATGATACATAGGGTGAGACCATACAGTTCGGAAACATTTCGATTACTTTGGTTTTGTTACATTCTCTGAGCTGGATGATTGGATGGTGAGGCTTTCATTGTCTTTTCAGACAATATCCTGTGCAACAGATTCGACGTTCATTACGTCTTTTTTGTACAGCTGAAGTTCTGGTTATTCACAAAAAAAATCCTAAACTCTGTGTAGATAAGCATTTTGTGAATCCCTTTTTACTACGATCGCCTTAGTTTTAGAAATCTAAATTAGACTGGAAGATTTTCTCTCCATTCTACTTCCATTCCCTTTGCTACGGTTCAACTTTATTGACTGAAGTCCTTCACGTCTTTTTTTTACAATATTCTTGTTAGCCTATGCTATCTTATTAAAAAAAATCACTTCTGAGCTATATTCGTTATTTTATGTCTGCATATTTTTGCCACTTTTTACCTCTTACATTAGGCCAATTTTGCCGTCTGTATCACATTTCAATATGTTATTTTACTAACTAACTTTAATCTTTGACCCTTGTCTGTACTAGTTATTATATCTCTAGGCTAATGCATAGCTTATCAGTTCAACTGTCTGAGATATCGGTGATTTGCAAGGCTTG